AACTCTTCTCTGTTAAATTTCCTTCGCGATGTTTTCAAAAATAAGTTAACTACAGTTGACTGGGTCTATCTCTGGGCTTTCTATCCTCCTCTAGTAATCTATGTGTCTATAATGTTTCAGTACCACAGTGTCTTGATCATGCTAACTTTATGGAAAACTTTCAAATTAGGTTATGGGGGTCTTCTTGCGTTGCTCTTCTATTTCAAAATTCTTTCAGCTATTTTATCACCTTTGCCTCTCTTTGTACATTTTAGAATCACTTTGTGAATATCTACATAAAAGTTTGCTAGAATTTGGGTAGTACTGCCATGAACCTATAGAAAAAAAAAAATATCTAAACAATATTGAGTATTTCAATCCATAAGTATGGTATACCTTTCCATTTATTTGGAGCATCTTGATAACTTTCATCGGTAAGTTGTCTCCTAAGATCTCGAACATATTTTGTTGGGCTCATACCTAAGTATTTCATGTTTATTAGAGCTATCAAAATTGGCATTAGTTAATAAATTTATGAGTAATTCACTTTGCATATTCACCTTGTCTCTTTCAGCCTCATTCAAATCTCTTATTACTCACAGGAGTTTGCTGGTAGGATCTCTGGGGCTTTCTATACAGGCAATTATGTCATCTATTAATACTCAGGAAACAGTGGTCAGTGTGGAAACTCATCTCACTGCGTTGTTTACCCTGCTTTCCTATTTCACTTCATTTACTTTTACTATTCTAGGAATGCACCTTGTACACACAGATACTTTTACCACTTAACCCTTGTCTAAGGCTCTGATTTCTAGAGAATGAAGGCTATTATTAACCTCTCACCTACCTGAATACAATTAATAACTTGTTTTAAAAATAAATGTAAAATATTAAAACTATTAGAAAAACATAAAAATATTTCTTAATCATTTGACTTTGATATCAATATAAAACACAGATAAAGAAATGCCTCAGTAAACAAATGTAGAGCTTAAGAAATTATTTTCAGGCTTACCACCCATAGTACAGTGGTTGCAGTGCTGGCCATATGCACCGAGGCTGGTGGGTTCAAACCCAGCCCAGGCTTGCTAAACAATAATGACAACTGCAACCAAAAAAAAAAAAAAATA